AACTGATGACCAGGATACATGAACACCAGCTGGCAGTAAAAAGACACGACCAATATTCACTTATCCCAATACACACAGACAATGAAGGCCATCAGTTTGACTGGGACAAGCGAACACCAGATCTGTAAGGAAATTTCTGGAAGCCTGGTTCCCAACACGGCACTCCATTAACAAACACATAGAAACAGACCCTGTATACAGAGTGCTGCTAAAACAACAAAACTGGAAGCAACAAGACCATCACACCAGAGGATCATCAACTGATGGTGTTGCCTAAAAGGGTAACGAAACGTCTGCACACCACAGAACAACCAGTGAGCTAAGGAATAACTACATCCACAATCTGAGCTACAAATTTTTGCTAAGACCTTAAAAACCTCTGGGCACAACATGTTTTATAATCATTCATGGGACGAGGACATCACTGGCTAGGATTAAAATTCCACACAACTTGTTTGAATCTATAAAGTAGGCATCCCCTTAGGAATGGGAAATTTATTACAGGTTAACTTAGATTTGTAAATATCTAGGTAATGAGAGGTGTGTAAAAGTTTGAATTTGATCAGAGCAATTGTACCTTTTCAAGACTTACAATCTGAACTCTCCAAATGACACATTTATTGCCTGACAACTCATTCTCACAAATAAGACCTGGTCTGCACCCGTTCCATGTGGGAAGGCTTCGCACACAGACTGGACACAATAAGGTCTGCAGATGCTGGGAACCGGCCTGAAATATTGACTTAGCTGCTCCTCGGAAGCTATCTCGCCTGCTGTGTTTTTCCAGCCTGATACCTATAGACATGCTGACTGGATTGTTTCTGGGCACTTTGTAGCATTCCCCGCTTTCCTTTCACACAACTTAATGCTTTCTTATACTCCATTGGCCAGAACCATAGAACATCACAAGGATTTGTTCAGTAGATGTGATAGGGGTGACAAATTTGGCGTGAATTTACTGTAATAATTCACCAGACCCAAAGGAAGTACTCTGAGATATTCTGAGGGCATGGCACATGTCATATTTCTTCAGCCTGATTTTCGCGTGTCAAATCTCGGAGAGTGAAGCAACACCAAATACCAGCTTCTGAAACTGTGGGTATTAATCAGCAAATATCACTGACTCATTGTCTCACTCAAGTTGCAGAAAGACATTTGTAAGATTTCACTTAAAAAGCATTAACCTCCTGATAACTTGGTGATTGGTTTATAATAAACTTTTGATTATTATTAACAACAGAAACAGAATTTGCTAGAAAAGCTCAGCAGGCCTGATAGCATCAGTAGAGAGAAAGCGGAGTTAATGTTTTGGGTTGAGTGACCCTTCCTCAGAACGTTCTGAGGTAGGGTCACTGGACCTGAAACACTAACTCTGATTTCTCTCCACAGGTGCTGCCAGACCTGCTGAGCTTTTCTAGCAATTTCTATTTCTGTTTTCATTTGTGATTTCCAGCAGCCACAGATTTTTCAGTTTTCATTTGATAATTATTAGGTGGATTACAATCTATTATCTGATTTGAGAATTGTTTTATAAGCCCCACATAGTCTTACTTTACCCATCTGCCTTTCTTTGACCTTAGTGACACTGTCCCCCATCTCTTTTCAGCTGTACCTCTGTTTTCTCCCATTGAGCGCAGGGCCCAGTGTGTTGTTGCTAGTACACCAGTCTGCTGTTTCTCTGAACCCATCTGCCTTACTATTCTTTGAATCACTAAAGTTTCACCAAACACCCAACGATACTTGCTGATCACATCATGTTGTGTTTCACTTCCACATGAGCATTCCAGATAAACAGCAATCTTTAACAAGTTCCTCTTCAAAGTAGACTGGCTTTTAACTCATGGCTATGATAATGGGGAATTTTACCCATTGCCTCATTCCCATTGTAGGGATTTTATTTCCTCCATTATGTTTTATTTCTGTCTGTGATTTCTCCCAGCAGTGTTTGATGACATTTTTGATACTATTGCAATTCAGGGATCCCGCTGCTTGGTGTGGAGTTTCACACCTTTTTGGGGCAATGGGTGAACAAAAGAATAATATAAATGTCAATGTCGATGGAGGCAGGGAGAACCGAGAGAATGTAAAACAAAGGGCATAGTCCTGAAGGGGTGCAGGAGCACAGGGACCTGGCTACATCTGTGCACTGATTATTAAAGGTGGCTGGAGGAGAGAGTCATTTCTAAAGCAGTCAGTATCTTGGATCTTATTAACTGGGGCACAGAGTATAGGAACAGGGACAGAAACAGAAATTGCTGGATAAACTCAGGCAGCATGATGGCTCAGTGGTTAGCACTACTACCTGACAGTGCCAGGGACCCGGGTTCAATCCCACCCTGGGGCAACTGCCTGTGTGGAGTTTGCACATTCTCCCTGTGGCTGCTCTGGTTTCTTCCCGCAGTCCAAAGATGTGCAGGTTGGGTGGATTGGCCATGCTAAAATGCCCATGGTGTGCAGTCTACCTCAGGTTAGCTAAGGGAAATGTGGGGTTACAAGGATGAGGTGGCTCTGGGTGAGATGCCTTCCAAGGGTTGATGTGGACTCGATGGGCTGAATGGCCTGCTTCCATACTGTAGGGATTCTATGACCTCAGTAGGTCTAGCAGCATCTGTGGAGAGAAAGCAGAGTGAACGTTTCAGGTCCAGTGACCCTTCTTCACTAGATGATGAACTTGCATAAGACACTTGTTAGATCTCAGCTGGAGTGTTTATAGTTCTGGGCACCACACTTTCAGAAGACTGTGACCACACTGGAGGTGGAGTGCAGACGAGGTTCCAGGGATGGTTTTGGGAATGAGAGAGTTCTGTCAGATGGGTAGATTGGAGAGGTTGGGATAGCCTTCTCCAAGGAAAATAAAGAGGAGATCTGACCAGGCTGTTCAAACTCGCACACGGTCTGCACAGACTGATAGTGAGCAACTGTTCCCATTGGTGGAAGAATTGTGAACCAGAGGGCACAGGTTTAAGGCAATTGGCAAAAGAAGATAAATTGTAGTGAGTGGTTTAGGGTCTAGAATGCGTTGCCTGTGAGTGTGGAGGCATTATAGAGGGAAATGGATAGTTATCTTGAAAAGAAGAATGTGCAGGGTAATAGAGCAGGGTGTGGCACAGGGTACATTTTTCATTCAGAGGACCAGCACAGACACATTGGGCTGAATGGCCTTCTCCTGTGCTGTGTCTGTTTTTTGCAACTCTGGAATGTGCAGGACAGGTGAAAATGATTGTGCTGCTTCAGGCCTGTCCCACTGGCAGTGTGTCAGAAGATTGTCATTACTGTCTGATCTTAAGGCTAGACAACATTCATGCAGACAAACGATAGGCTCAGGGAAGCAATAATTATTCTAACCTGACTTGTACCAAATAACCCTAACCTGCAGCACCTTGTGACTAGGGAATGAGAACAAATACCTTTTACAAACTGCAGATACTACCTCAATTATTTACACCACAAGTTAATTCTGATGATTTCCAATTGTTTTGTGACTGTGATTGTAACACCATGACCATTTTCTACATTCTAGACGGTGGGAGTCAACCTTCGGAAATTGACTGGCAGTGTGGATGAGCTGTTGCCATCGCTACCTGCAACATCCCGCACAGAAGTGAGTCCTGGTTCACTTGATTACCATCTGCTACAGTCCTCAACCCACTGCTTGTTAGGATCGGGATTCTTTTCAAAGTGCACTCCTTAATCAACAGATCTCGATATTTCGAAAGACGTTTGGTTTGCTGTCATCAGCTTAATTCCTGAGGGAGGGGTTATCCTGACATTCTGCAGTTGCAACAGAGACAGTGTGGGGCAGTTCATGCTCAACTGACAGGAGAGTTAATCAAAGTTTCTAAAACCTTTTCTGGTGAAGATTTTGATAAGGAGTTGGAGAAAGATTATTTGCTCTTATTCTAGCTCCTTGTTCCTTGTGACAGCCCCTGGGTCAGAGAGTGGTCCTTGTTAAAAAGTTATTCCTTTTTTTTTAACCACTTCAATCACATCTCCTCTTGGCCTTGCCAGCTGGGAGGAGAATGACCCCCAGTCTCCATTTCTCCAAATACATTTCTTCAGCCCTAGGTTCAGAAAAGATTTACCATGAGGGATTGAGTTATAAGGAGAGACTGGATAGGCTGGGACTTTTTTCACTGGAGCATAACAGGTTGAGGGGTGACCTTACAGAGGCTGAAAAAATAGAGGGGTATAGATAGGGTTAGTGGCAAGTGTTTTTTCCCCAGGGTGGGGATATTCACAACTAGGGGGCATATTTTTAAGGTGAGAGGAGAAAGATTTTAAAAAAGACATATGGGACTTTTTTTTAAAAACACAGAGTGTGGTTCCTATGTAGAATGAGCTGCCAGAGGAAGTGGTGAATGTGTGTAAAGTTGCAATGTTTAAAAGACATTTGGATAAGTACATTGAAAGGAAAGGTTTGGAGGGGAATGAGACAAATGCAGGCAGGTGGGACTAGTTTAGTTTGGGAACATGATCAGCATGGACTGGTTGGACTGAAGGGTCTGTTTGGGTGCTGTGGTTATTCCAGTAAATGATGTCTGTGCAGTCGGCGATGATGAATCAGAAGCTTTCCATCCTAATTTACTGAATTTGGCCACATGTCGCTGACCTTGTTATCTCAGATTCTCCAGCATCAGCAGTTCCTACTATCTCTCCCACAAATCAGAATCATAATGTTATTTGACTTAAGACTTTCCCAGCCTGAGTTACAGTGCAATTTATACTGACCGAATCATAAATGGATGAAACAATCAAAGTAATAGACACAAAAATCATGTAAAATAACAAAGAGGCAAGCAGTTTAGCAGGAATAGGGAAGTGGTGGATGGGATATTAATGGCAAAAATGAATTAATACTGAATGAAGATTATAATGCAATACACAGCTCCTACATACTGACACTGAAGTCCATGTAATCATTAGCTGTTCAGAGCTCAGAATCTCAGAATTCTTTGTTGCTCAGGAGGCCATTCAGCCCATTGAACTTGCTGCAGCTCTTCAAATGAGCAGCATTCCTCAGTGTGAATCCTCCAGCCTTTCCCCTATACCCTTACACATCGTTTCTATCCAACTAACTCTCCAATGGCCTCTTGAATGAGAGGCCTAACGCAGGCCTAACCCCTGGAGTCCAGGTATCATTCTTGTAAACTGATGTACTCCCTGCAAGGCCAATCTATCCTTCCCAGATCTGCTCCAAGCGGGATCTAACCAGGGTTTTCTTGGTTTTGTTTCTATTCAGATCGAGGGGACACAGAGGCTCCTGAATAAAGACCTGGCTGAACTGATAAACAAGATGAAGTTGGCCCAGCAGAATGCTGTGACCTCGCTGAGTGATGAGTGTAAGAAGCAGATGCTAACAGCTGCCCACACACTTGCTGTGGACTCCAAGAACCTGCTGGATGCTGTGGATCAGGCCAGGGTTCGGGCAGGACAAGCCAAACCAGTCCCTAACTGATGCCAACTCCATCAATTCGGAGAGCAGCCCACCAGGCAGGAATGGAGTCCTTCACTGAAGCAAGCAAGAAATGGATTCATTAAAATCCAACATGGGATGGGATTCTATCAAGGTTGGGGGAGGGTGGGGTACTGAGGACGGCATTAATTAAGTAAAACTGGTAACCATTTTCCTGGGAAGCAAAAGCGCTTTTGTTTGGAAGGGTGGAGGGGGCTATTCATGACTTTAATCCAAATGATTCCATGTACAAGTTGGAACAGTGATGCATTTCCGCCTGATCTCTGCCCAAATTGTTAAATAATCACAATAATCCATGGCAGATGATATTTAGTGAAGGTGCTGGTGTTTTAACTAAACTCGGCACACTGAAGGACAAAAATGCAAGTCGAGCTTGAAATGCTAAATTTGGGAGTGACTAAAAAATCTGGAAATTGTAAGACAAGATGGAAGCTTGTATTCTTGTGTTGTTTTTGCTCAATGTCATGTACTCTACTCTGTAAATACAGATATTTATAGTTTGCTGATAGCACCAAGAGGCCTGACCGAATGTTGCTGCCATCTGCTCTCATTGCCATTAGGAAATTATCATCTCCCTGTGCTTCTCTTGCCAATAATCAGGTGGTTGGTGGTTTATGAGGAATCCTTACACACCACATTCTTCAGGGCGTGAGGAAGCACTGGTTTCCAAGATACCAAGAGCCAGGAAAATGGAGGCAGCTGCGATTTGATCCAGTCCTGTAAATGACTGACAGTGAATTGTTGTATTTCTGACTGTGAGAATACGAGGGATTTCGATGTGGGTTTGAAGATGATCTGTGATGTTGGAATGGAAAATCCTGGATCAAAGATTGAGGCTCTCTATGCTGTGTTTCTCAGCTTCAGGTTGGATTATTCCAACGTGAGAAAATTCTCAAAGTTCTGTCTTTTCACCTGGTTCTCTGTAACGTATCCAGCTGGTGGAAGCAGGCCACTGTGTTATCTCACTGTATGAGTCTGTGCCAATAACTGTATGACCCCTCCGGTTTCATATTTAACCTGGTTTGTACACCACCTCCAGCTGCTACCTCATGTGTAGCTCACAAACAGTGCAACTGAGACCAGGCACCCAGGGAGCATGGTGATCTACCCTCTCATTCACCATTCTGCCCTCTAAGGGTTAAACCGTTGCCCATTGCAGTTGTGTGGGGTAACAGTCTCTGACCAGTCCCTCTGATTACAGCAGGACTGTATTCACAGCATTTGCCGGCCTCCCAGCTCAGCTCTCATCACACTGGCCTTGTGTAGTTTCAGATCCTTCAGTTCAGTCTCATATTCCCCATCTCCTGGGAAATGGTGTTTCATTGCCAGAAGGAACAGAATTGTCAGCTCCAGCTGAAGGTGGAGACCGAGGCTATTTTTCAACGACATTTTCGGGCAAGTGTGTGAGTGGGCACATCGCCATTGAAGCTCCCTCTCGGTGACCTGCTGTGTGCTGCAGCCTACTGCTGTTCCTAAACTGAAAGGTCTCTGGTTAATCCAACCCCTACAACAGTCTGCATGCTGCCGATATCAGACAGAGAACCCATCTCCACAACAGGAAAGGAGGGGACCAAGCAAAATCCCAAATCTTGTCTGTTTCCTCTATATTTTGTTGGGGGGAAGGCCTGGGGCCTGGGAACAGTCCTAGCTTCTCCTGTCAAGCCCAAATGCAATTGCCATTATCATTTCTGTCTTCTTACCTGGGACACAGTCCAACCTTCTTGTCTTATGAGCTGCTGAAGATTCCGGAATTGGAACACTGTTCCTGGAGCATGAAGATTTGGGCTGTCACACTGACTAATGCAAAGTCTGAAAAATTCAACCCGACCCAGTTACTAGCTCCCAGGAATAAACAGCCTGAGAATTCTTGGTAGACCTGGTAGGAAACTAGTGGAATTGTCAGGTCAACATCTGCGACACAGTTAAACCAGACTATTGCAATATCCCACAGCTCCTTATCACACAGGAGAGCAGACAGAATTCATTTTCCTACATATTATCCACTTTTTCCCTAATTTACTTTTTATTCCCTTGTGGCATGTGGGCATCACTGGCTGGGCCCAGCATTTCTTGCCCGTCCCTAGTTGCCCCTTGAGAAGGTAGAGGTGAGCTGCCTTTTTGAACCGCTGTAGTCCATGTGCTGTAGGTTGACCCACAATGCCCTTAGGGAAGGAATTCCCAGCAACACTGAAGGAACGGTGACCTATTTCCAAGTCTGGATGGTGACTGGCTTGGAGGGGAACTTGCAGGGGATGTGTATCTGCTGCCTTGTCCATCTAGCTGGAGGAGTTTGTGGGTTTGGAAGGGGCTGACAGTCTATGGTATGTTCATCGCATTCATTAACAGTTGCTTCTTTTTATATTAAACACAATGATTTCCAATTTGAAAGTCCCATTGTGTTGTAAAGGTAACAGAATGTGGGGAAGCTGAGATTTATGTTCCTGCAGTAACCTGGGGTGACCCCTGGAGCCAACAAAGTGTGCATGTTAACTGCTGTGTTTGACTGCATACACACTCTTGAGAAGTAGGTCTGCAGTCGATGCTTTGTTTCGCTGAGTTCCTGGTGCCCTGGCTTGATGTGATGGTGAAGAGCTGCCAATTTGTGAGACTTGGAAACAGAAGCCTGGCCTCACCTGAGAGACCTGGAGTAGTCCGAGACCATGCAACCTCGTGGAGGGAAGGACAGGAGTATTTACTCTGTCTCCTTGCTAACCATAAGATTCCCAATTCCATTAGTCAAACTGGAACTCAGGAACACTGCACTTACTATGTGCCAATAAGCTTTGAGATGTGATCCCAGTTTGTAGCATGTGGGAAGGGAGAGAGCTAGCCAGGATTAGAGGCGGATGGTGGGGGGGGCAAGGAATTTCTGGTGCCATCAACCAGTAAATCTCTGAGGGCACACAGACCTCAAAGAAATGACCAGGGGAGTTCTTAAGAACACACTTGTATACAGGAAATACAAGATTGGGAAGGTCTTTTAGTCACACTTTAAGAAGAACAATCACATTTCACTCTGATCTCACAGGAAAGGAAACAGAAACAGGAGAATGAGCTGAGCGATTTATTCTGTCAGAGGTTTTCCGCAACTGAAAATACAAAACAGACAATGATGTCAGGCTGACAGGCAATAATGTTTGATGATGGGCTGTGTGTGAGTGCTGGGGTCAAGTATAACATCATTCATGGAACTGTCCACTCAGCGACCCTGTGTTTTCCATGTATCAGTATCACATTAATGAATGTAAATGGTTCAACATTCACCTGATCTGAGATGTGACAATGCTCTTTAGCTTCTCACTAAAATAAATGTTGTGTTTTTCTAAAAGCATGTTCATTTATTTGTTATTGATCATATTGGCTGAGATTCTACCTCCCAAACACACTGCCTTATTTAGATTTGAAAGTTGTGGGAGAAGGGTCACATACAATAAACCGAATAGCCTCCCATCACCTTCCTGCCCCAACCCTCACCCTACTGAGCGGTGATTGGGCAGGTGATGGTTCCCTAAGCCTGTACCACAATACTCATCAGTTATCACTTGCACTAAAACTCACCAGAATTTGGTCTATCAACTTGAATAATATGCCCACTCAAAGTGCCGGCCACTGCCATGGTCCCTCTGACAGTGCAGGACTCCCTCAGTACTGACCCTCCAACAATGTGGCCGTCCCTCAGCACTGACCCCCGACAGTGCAGCACTCCCTCGACACTGACCCTCTGACAGTGCGGCACTCCCTCAGCCCTGACCCTCCGACAGTGCGGCGCTCCCTCAGCCCTGACCCTCCGACAGTGCGGCGCTCCCTCAGCACTGACCCTGCGACAGTGCGGCACTCCCTCAGCACTGACCCTCCGACAGTGCGGCACTCCCTCAGTACTGACCTTCCGACAGTTGATCCACGTGAATGGGACATGAACACATGATGAGTGTCTCCTCAGTGAGAAAGCCTCTGGGATACCATGAGCCTCCAACTGAATGTTTTACGGTGGCCATGGGTTTGTGCTAACATAGGAGGGCAGCAATTCAATTGGCTCCCTTCCTGGGAAAGCTTGTGGTTGGGAGGTAGGTGGCGGTCGATGGTGATGAATTCGGAGCCATTGTGTGGGATTGAGTTTCCTTGGCGTGTGTTTGTGGTGTGGTATCAGACAGTGAGTAGACCAGCTCTGAGCAGAGTTAATATTAGCTTGTGCAGCCAGTGTTGTGTGCAAATGTGGATTTTTGATAATTGTTCAACATTGAGTGACTGTAAACTCATCAGTTTGGCCTGAGAAACCGTATCAGAAAAGTGACCACAAAAGCAGCTATTTCAATTTTGCTGACAGGAACCCTGCCCATTTCCTCTCTGATAAATGCCATATTCTTTATTTAAAACTGACACGTTTACAGTCTTATTTCCTTCATTTAAAATCTTCCATTTTTTGCCTCCAGCTCTGCCCAGAGTGACATTTACCCTGCAGCATGGACATACTTTCTCACCCCTTTACCCTCCTACAATGCCCCTCTCCTTCCACTTCCCTGTCCTGCTTAATCCTTTCCCCCTTCCTCCACACAATTCCCCTTCACCGTCCCCTTACACTCCCCAGCTTCTGCCTTGCCTCTTCCTTCCTCTCTATCCCAGGCTCCCTGTTTCTCCCCACATCCACATGTTGCTTCCCCCAGCAGTCAGAGCTGAGTTGGTGAAGTTACTGTTTGTTGAAGTGTCCCCTGGGTATTAGTGCCTCTCAGAACTGGTTAATTTACAGAGCGATCCCTCACATTGCTTCAGTCCCACTTTGGCGTATCTCTGCTCAGACCACAGGGTGAGGCAGGGGGCTCTGTCACATTTATCGTTCTTGCAAACTCCTCTGATAAGCTCCATAAGGAACCAAAGTTTCCTGTTTTATCATTCACTCCCTCAGAATTCGCCATCATCCACTTACATTGGTTATCTTCATTTACCAGAATGTGTAACCAGGAGGCACCACAACATCATTACAAAGCCTGCCTCTCCCCCTGCCCTGTAAGGTCCTGAGAGAATTAATTGGTAACTCCACTGGACCAAGTAATCCAGAGGCCCTGTGGTGATGTCGTGGTTGGATAGGCTGGGACTTTTTTCACTGGAACGTAGGAGGGGGAGAGGTGACCTTATCAAGGTTTATAAAATCATCAGGGGTTTCGATAAGTTGAATGGCAGGCGTATTTTCCCTAAGGTTTCAAGACTAGGGGGCATATTTTCAAGATGAGGAGATAAAGATTTTAAACAACATGGGGGCATTTTCTTTACACAGAGAGTGCTGCGAGTGTGGAATGAATTACCAGAGAAAGTGATGGATGTGGCTACAGTTATACAGTTTAAAAACCATTTGGATAAGTACATGAATAGGAAAGGTCTGAAGGGACATGAACCAAACACAGGTAGGTGGGACTAGTTTAGTTTGGGAACATGGTCAGCATGGACTGGTTGGACCAAACGGTCTGTTTCAATGACTCTATGGCTGATGGTGAAATTTGAATTCAATGAAATCTGGAATTGAAAGTTGCTCCAATAGTGTACATAACCAGGGTTGATTGTTATTAAAAACCAATTTGTTTCTCTAGTGCCCTTTAGGGAAGGAAATCTGCTGTCCTTACCCAGACTGACCAACCCATGACTGTGATCCACCACAATGGTTGTCCCTTAACAACCCTTACATAGGGACGAAAGTACAAGGAGTTGTTTGTTGCTTTAGGAAAAACAAGTGAAACTCCAACTGGTACAGCAGAAGCAATGTTAAACCAGGGGACACTGAGTCCAGACTAAGTGACACCATTTGTTCTGTGTTCAGGACAGCTTAATCTAGCCCAGTTTTGACTGGTGATGGCTTAGTGGTATTATCACTAGGTTATTAGGCCAGAGAAATAACAGAAAGAACTACAGATGTTGGCAATCAGAAACAAAAACAGAAATGACTGGAAAAACTCAGCAGATCTGGCAGCATCTGTGGAGAGAAAGCAGAGTTAATGTTTTGGGTTGAGTGACCCTTCTTCAGTTCTGTCTGAAATGTTAATTTCAGTTTCAGTTTCAGTTTTGAAACATTCATTTTCTCCACAGATACTGCCAGGTCTCAAATGGAAATCCTGTTGCTAAGCAGTGAGAATGTCCATGAGATTGGGAAGGATTCTGCCTGGTTGCTTTGTCTATGTAGACTGCAGGTTGAACTCTGTTCATTCATTGCTGTATTTAAATACCTGCTGGGATTGTGGAAACTTGGCAGTCCATCCAGGGGAACATTGCGAATCAGGATCTATAGGCCTGTTTAATTCATTTTATTACTTTCTGACCTTCTGATGCTTTTATTCTAATACCAAGTGAATAACAGAAGTCCCCTCAGTATGGGAACAGGTCATTCAGCCCATCGAGGCCACACCAAGCATCCAAAGACAATCCAATCCAGGCCCACTCCCCTACCCTATCACCCTGTATTTCCTGTGTCCAATCCACCTAACCTGCACATGTTTGGACTGTGGGAGGAAACCACTGCACCCAGAGGGAACCGCACAGGTACAGGGAGAATGTGTGGAGTTTGTACAGACAGTCACCCAAAGGCAGAATCAAACCTGGGTCCCTGGTGCTGTGAGCTACCAGAGCTAGGCACTGTGCTGCCCGAGGAAACAAGCTCCAGGCCATTGGGCATCCAACAGCAACAAAGGCTTGCAATAAGATTCCAGTAACAAAGGCTTATGTTCCACACAATGTCTATAAGACAAGGCAGAGAGGCTATGAGCATGTAACATAGGAAAAGGAGGAGACCATTCAAGCCCTAGTGTCTGCTCCCCTATTCAATGACATTGTGGCTGATCTGTGACCTAACTCCATATACCTGCCTTTGATCCATAATCCCTTGATTCCCTTGCTTAATAAAAAAAATTGTCGATCTCAGATTTAAATTTAACAATTGAATTAATATCACCCTCCATTTGTGGAAGAGAATTACAAACCTCTCCCTCCCTTTGTGTGTAGAAGTGTTTCCTAACATTTCTCCTGAACAGTCAGGCCCAAATTCTCAGACTATGTCCCTAGTTCTAGAATCCCCACCCAGTCGGAATAGTTTATCTTTATCTACCCTGTCTAAGAAGAAGGTCTTTTATGAGGAAAGGCTGAGGGACTTGAGGCTGTTTTCGTTAGAGAGAAGAAGGTTAAGAGGTGACTTAATAGAGACATACAAGATGATCAGAGGATTAGATAGGGTGGACAG